GTCTCACCCAGATCAGGGCTACCAGGGGATGTAACATTTAAAGGGGTACCCCTATTGTAACGGACCGTTTTGCCCACAAGCGGTTAAAAATCGTTTAGGCGATATTCCCCTTTCTCAGCTGCACAGACAGCTACTGCAAGCACCAATCTCCCGAACTGGAAACCCACGAATTCACCAACTCCCGAACTGCAAACACACGAACACTGGAAACAGCCGAACTGGAAACACACGAATAGCTGCTAGCAGACGAACAGGAAAAGCCCCCAAGCGGCTTACACTCCTGGCAATCAGTCTCTAACAGCATACAGTAAATCCTCCCCCAATAATGAGACGACACTTCGTTTTGAGGGTCAAGCAGAATCTCCAGATTTATTCACACAACCTCCTTTTAAGACATTCTCCCATGCAAGGGAAGGATCCACAACAGTTAGTACCCCAGCCAATAATGTACTAGTTACCTCCCACACATCTCCTCCCCTTAGTGTGACACATAATCCCATTAGTCCAGACACAAATTCCCTGGGATACTGGATGTACCCCTAAACATAGGGTTACCCCTAAATGTTACATCCCCTGGTAGCCCTGATCTGGGTGAGACACATATCCAAAAATCACCCAGATCGGACCAGGGGTTCGGGAATTATGGAGGGTTAAAGTTTTGACCGACTGCATGGCAAAAGTATCCGAAAATAGTTCCATGTATTTTGGCCCTGCAGTCGGTCACAGAAAAGGGAATGAAACACACGAATTGCCTGGGTTACAGAGCCTGGGGAGGGTTTAAATGAATTCCCTTGTTCGTGGGATCCTCTAGAAGGTTGTGTGATTAAAAGTTCAGTTCTGCTCCTGATGCTGTGTCGTCGTCCAGTCATTGGGATATTATTGGATTGTCTTGCCTGCTGGAATTATTGCCTTATGGATTTTAATACTTGTTCCTGAGCCTCACTGGGATCTTGAGGGGAGATAACCTGTGGAAAATCAGCTCTCCGCTACACACTGCCCCATACATTCTACATAGATGCTGCATATACATTCTGTATAAATGTAGCATATAAATTCTACAGACATGAAGCATATACGCCCTGTTCCAAATTATTATGCAAATTCTATTTAAGTGTCACAAAGATGAAATATTTTGTTTTTCAGTTTAACTCATGGATGGCATTGCGTCTCAGTGCTCTTTTGATCACTGAAAACAATCTCGGACACCTGTGATAATTAGATTGCCAGGTGAGCCCAATTTAAGGAAAAACTACTAAAGGAGGGTGTTCCACATTATTAGGCAGAGCACCATTTCCATGCAATATGGGGAAGAAAAAGGATCTCTCTGCTGCTGAAAAGAGTGGAATAGTTCAATGCCTTGGACGAGATATGAAAACATTCGATATTTCACGAAAACTTAAGCGTGATCATCGCACTATTAAGAGATTTGTGGCTGATTCAGAGCACAGACGGGTTCGTGCAGATAAAGGCACATTGAGGAAGATTTCTGCCAGATCCATGCATCAGATCAAGAGAGCAGCTGCTGAAATACCATTACATAGCAGCAAACAGATATTTGAAGCTGTTGGTGCCTCTGGAGTCCCACGGACATCAAGGTGTAGAGTCCTCCAGAGTCTTGCAACTGTGTAGTGATGTACCGAACGGTTCGCCGGCGAACGGTTCCTGGCGAACATAGCATGTTCGCGTTCGCCACGGCGGGCGAACATATGTGCGGTTCGACCCGCCCCCTATTCGTCATCATTGAGTAAACTTTGACCCTGTACCTCACAGTCAGCAGACACATTCCAGCCAATTAGCAGCACAGCCTCCCTAGCAGACCCTCCCACCTCCTGGACAGCATCCATTTTAGATTCATTCTCAAGCTGCATGCTTAGTAAGAGGAGGGAAAGTGTAGCTGCTGTTCATAAGATAGGGAAAAGCATAGCTAGGTTAGGGATAAGGGTATGCTTTTTTAATTTATTTTTTCTATGTAATGTAATTGCACTTAGTTGTCTGCCACTGCTGCCAGCTTCTGTGTCAGGCTCACAGTGCATACTGTGCCCATTTCCCCAGTCAGTGCCACCACTTATATCTGGTGTCACAATAGCTTGGATTTAAAACAAAAACCTTTTTTCACTGTTATAGATTGAATAGCAGTCAGTTGTCTGCCACTGCTGCCAGCTTCTGTGTCAGGCTCACAGTGCATACTGTGCCCATTTCCCCAGTCAGTACCACCAATTACATCTGGTGTCACAATAGCTTGGATTTAAAAACAAAAAACTTTTTTCACTGTTATAGATTGAATAGCAGTCAGTTGTCTGCCACTGCTGCCAGCTTCTGTGTCAGGCTCACAGTGCATACTGTGCCCATT